GATACCACCGCGGACAAGCTCTCCGCTCGCGCCATTCCCTGCGTCTTCCTTGGCTTTGTCCCTGACGCGCCTGGCTGGCAGTTTTACGACCCCGCCTCGCGCCGTGTCTTTCCGTCTCAGGACGTCACCTTTGACGAGTCCGTCCCCTTTTACCGTCTCTTTCCCTACCGCACTGCCCCTCGCCCCCCCCCGCCGCTCTTTCTCGCCCTAGGTCCTCCCCAGGTAGACCCCCTCCCCGCGCCAGGTCCTGCTCCTTCAGGTGTTTCTCAGGTAGACCCTCCCGTGCCTTCGCCTGTTGAGGTCACTGGTGACTCAGGTCCTGCTGGGGGTGGTGCTGTCTTTGGGGGTGCTGGGCCTGGGGGTGCGGAGCTTGGGGGTGCTGAGCCTGGGGGTGCGGAGCCTGCGCGTGAGGACCCAGGAGGTGCTGAGCCGGGGGGTGCGGAGTCTGGGGGCGCTGAGCCTGAGCGTGAGGAGCCTGGAGGTCCTGAGCCTGGGGGTGCTGTGTCTGGAGGTGCTGAGCCCGAGCGTAAGGAGCCTGGGGGTACTGAGTCTGGGGGTGCGACGCCTGAGGGTTCTGGGTCTACTGCTGCGCTGTCTCCTTGGAGTAGCCGCCTTCGTCTGCGTGTGCCTCTCACCTCACAGCAGCTGGCGACTGGTACGGTCACCGTCAGGGTCGCGCTTCTGGAGCTCGAGGCCCTGCCGCTGGAGGTACTTCTGCTGACGTCACTGGAGCTGGGAGTGGTGCTGGTCCCGGAGGTGCTCGTACTGGAGGTGCTGGAGCTGCTGGGGCTGGAGGTGCTGCTGAGCCTGAGGGTGCTACTACTGGAGACCCTGGGTCTGGGGGTGCTGCTGCTGGAGACACGGAGGCTGGAGACCCTGGGACTGGAGGTGCCAGTTTTGGGGGTGCTGCTGAGGGTACTGGAGCTGCTGAGGGTACTGGAGCTGCTGGAGGTGCTGGAGCTGATGAGGGTGCTGGAGCTGCTGGAGGTGCTGGAGCTGCTGAGGGTACTGGAGCTGCTGGAGGTACTGGAGGTGCTGAGGGTACTGGAGCTGCTGGAGGTGCTGGAGCTGCTGAGGGTGCTGAAGATCTCACACTTGTGCCTCGCCTATCTACCTACCTGCCTCGTGCCCGGCTGACCCTGCTAGCCCCGTCGGCCCCGCTAGCCCCGTCGAGCTCCGCTGACCCTGCTAGCCCCGTCGGCCCACTGCTGCGCCTGCCACGCCCTAGCCGCTGCTACCCGCACCTGCCGCGTCCGCGCTTGCACCTGCCGCCTCCGTGCCTCCTTGCCGCCGACGCATGCGCCTGCCGCCGCCCGCACCTACCATCGCCGCACTTGCCGCACCTGCTGGGCGCCCTGCCGCACCCTAGCGCCCTTCCGTGCCTGCTGAGCCTACCGCGCTCTGCCGCGCCTGTTGCGCGCCCTGGCGCACCCTGCCGCGCCTACTGTGCGCCTTGGCGCGTGTGTCGCTCCTGCAAGTTAGGGTTTTGTACTGACTGCCCCTACTTGTCTTCTCCTCCGCCTGTCGCCGTTCCCTCTCATCTACTGCAGTTGTGCCTCTGCAGTCATGCCGTCCGACAGCGTCCTGCAGCTCGATGCGGAGGGTCGGGCGATTGGTTTTTACGCGTGGACCCTTGACGCCACAATCTACCTCCAGAACAAGTGCAAAGATGACGACACTTTGTATGCCCACACTTTCTGTGAGCTGCCTGCCCCCAAGCTTCCTACTCCACTGTCAAGATAGCAAGCATGGATGACTGCATTGAATGAGTTGTGGGTACAAGTACTAACCCTAACATTGGGATGTACCCCATATGGGCTACCCCACTATAGCCTATATAAAACTAGCACAGATATAATTTGACATCCACTTGCTGCTGACTCCACGCAGGTGGACCGGGAGACTTACATTGTGGCTTGTCTTGTGTACTTGGTGTGGAGTCGCGTGACGCTGCTGCGAGCCTTGCCCTTCGCCAACTCCTGTCGCCGGATGAGCGAGTTCACATTTGCCAGGTTGCGTTGGCGAAGGAGTTAATTTATGCTATTGCTCGCTATTCAACCCCCTCTTTTGCTAAGCGAAGTGAGCGTGGTGAGCATGGTGCAGAACGAAGTTGTTTCCAGTCCACGTGAGTCCAAGTAATCTACAATCTGCAAAGCGCGAGTATTGGTGAAACGTTATTGATGGCATGTGAGCACCGCCTGACTTCAAGGCGCAATACGTGGCTAGTGGCTTTAGTTAGCGACAGGGGGTAGACTTCTTTCAGGCCGTCTCCCCCACCCCCAAGATGTCCACTCTTTGTGTACTGCTGCACATCGCGGCACAGGACGACGAAAAGCTCCACTAACTAGACTTCTCCACTTCCTTCCTCCAGGGCAGCCTGCATGATCAGATCTGGCTCCAACGTTCACCTGGTTTCACTGGGTCGTTATCTTCTTGGGCCAAATGGAGCCTTAGGCGACCAGTCTATGGTCTGTGTTAGGCTCTTCATGAGTGGCACGACATGGTACGCACTACTCTTGCTGCCATTGGCTTCTTCCCGTCCTTTGCTTACCCTTCTCCCTTCGTTCGCCCTGGCGAGACTCCTTTCTACACCCTTGTCTACGTCGAGGACCTGGTTTTCGCTACTCCCGACCAGGTTGCACTGACCTCAGTGAAGACCGAATTGCTGATGAGACACAACTACACTAACCTAGGTGAGATGGGTCGCTATCATGGCTTGCAGATCACTAGGGAAAGAGCAGGCAGAAGAACCTCGAGCGCTTCAGCCTTCTGTTCTCTTATGCACAGCCCACTCCTCTTGTTGTGGACAATAAACTCTCAGCTTTTGTCTCTGACAATCCGGCGCAGCCTAGTGGTCTGTACGCAGAGCAGGTGGGGTGCCTCATGTACCTGATGACCTACACTCGTACGGACCTTGCATACCCTCTCAGCATATTTGCTCGCTTTGTTGCGACTGGGAGACACCGACCTGCACTGGACGGCCACTAAGAGGTTAGTGCACTATCTGGCGATTACATCAGGCATGTGGCTTGTTCTTGGAGGACGACACGAAAATAAAATCACGGGACACATTGATGCGTTGTGGAAAATCGATGCCGAGACTCTCAAGTCTGCTTAGGGCTTCTGCTTTTGTCTTGGCATTGGAGCTATTTCGTGGAGGTCGATCTGCTCGCCTTCAGCAGCTTCATCCATCTGTGAGGCAGAGATCTATGCTGGTGCTACCGTTGCTCAAGAGATATGCTTGCTGACGTTTTGCTTAGTAACTTAGGTGAGCCGCCTCGCTCCACCCTGAGTTTCTGGAGAACGAGGGATGTGAAGACCAGCGAGGGAGCCAGAGGGGACTGTCGGACATAAGAGAGAAGTAGCGTTGCGAGCAACGACCCGTCTAGAAGAAGGGTTAGCTAACGCGACTGGGACTGGTGTGAACAAGATATAAGTACAAATGGCTAACACCAGGGCATACAGGGTGCATAAGTACAAATGTATGTACCCATACACAGTAACACAATCTAGCCTATAATATATGCAAGTTATAATTTGACAACTGGTGCCTTCAGTGGAGTGAGGCCGGTGTGGCCGCGGAAGAAGCACCTAAACGCGCCTGATTCAAGCGTGAAGAAACGTGACGCACCAGCGGCGGTCGCACCTGTGCAAGCAACATCATAGGATCCTACACTAGAGATAGTTAGAGATCCTACACTAGGCGCACACAAACACTAAGAGTCTGCAATACTATAGGCATCAGCATACCTGATAGGGGCAGAATACAAAGCAGCATGGATCGCAAACGTGTCCATAACAAAGATAGGCAGCTCACCGCGGAGCAGTGCATTCTAGACCGGGACTTCCACCGCAAGCATTAAACAGCCACGGTAGAGGTCGGAGTGGCGGCTGAAGCACCGCAGCGGAGTGATCAGGACACGCGCAGACCTGGCCGCAGTGTGGACCAGTCTGAATCACGTACTGACAGGGTCCACGGTCGTGGCCAATGCTCTCAGGGATGCCATAGCCCCACTGCTGCTGCGGGACCTACGGCTGAAACTGTTGCGACTACTGCTGGTGAAACTGCCGCTGCTGCTGGTGCGGCTACTTCTGCTACTGTGCTGGTGCACCACGAACCCTCCAGGACCAACATCTCCTCCAACTGCACCACTGGACCCTGTAACTCCTCCAGCATCAGCACTTCCTGACGTCCCAACACCTCCGCCACGTCCACCTCCTCCACCCAATTCACCCTTCTTACCACCCTTACGACTACGCTAGCGACCGGAGGCAGCAACTGATGCAACCTCCGACAAAGCAAAAAGCTCAGCAACAGAGAACAAGACCACCGGGAGAAGCAAGAAGGGACGGGGCACACCCCTCAAAGATGGGGGAAGAAGAGTACCAGAGGGGGCAGCGATGGCGCGAAGACCAGATTCGATCTTACTGAGACATGACCGAAAGAGGTCGATAGTGGGGGTCCTACGGTGCACAGCAAGGAAGGCGTCGTGTGCAGTCGCAAAGCGGTTAGGGAGCGCGGTCGCTAGGAGGTACAGGGTTATAGACCTGGACGGGGCGGCCTATGTGTTTTGCTCAGTAGTGCAAGCAGCGCGGAAGGTAGTGTCTAGCGAGCGCAGACACATACCAGATCAGCGATTGTGCAGAATGAAGGAAGGTCAGGAGAGAGGAAGGGTAGGATGCGGCGGCCTAACGTAACAGTGGAGGGAGTGGAATAGCTTGCGATAAAAACATACAGCAACTCCTTCGCCGACTTCACCTGAGTGGTGTACTCCCGCTCAGTCTGCAACAGGTGGCGAAGGATAACAAGACATGAAGCATCGTTATGCCCTCGCCATGGGTGGTTGCTGCAGCGCGCGGGCATGCGCTGGCGCATGCATGAGCCACGGCGGTTGGCAGCGTACAGGCGGCGGGCTGGCTGCGTGTGCTAGCAGCGGGGTCGCGATGCGCCTAGGGTGGGGCGCTGGGCATGGGGTGCGACGTGCATAGGGTGGGCTGCGATGGGCCTAGGGTTGGGCGTCATGGGCCTAGGGGGGGTGCGCGATGGGGCAGGCAAGGCCAGTGCTACGGGGCAGCCCGACCGTGCAGCGCGATGGGGCAAGCGGCTGGGCAATGCGACGGGGCAGGCGATAGGCCGGAGCGATGGGGAAGGCGATGGGCCAGCGCTACGCGGCAGGCGACGGGGCAGCGCGGCGGGGTTGAGCGACGGGGCATGGGATGGGGCAGTGCGACGGGGTAGGGGATGGGGCAACGCGATAGGGCTGGGGATGGGGCAGTGTGACGGGGCAGGGGATGGGGCAGCGCGACGAGGCGTAGGGTGGGGCGGCGGAGCGCGCTACATGCTGCTTGACGGGGCACTCAAGGGGAACACTAAGGGCTGTTAGGGGGGGGCTAGGGGCAGGCTAGGGTAGGCTAGGGCAGGCGTAGTAGAAGCACGGGTCCAAAACCTACTCATGATACCAAGTTAGAAATTAACAATGATGGACTAGACAAGGTGCTGTTTGGGTAGTCATAACGTTTGAGCGTCTCTCGCAATTCTGCTAAAGTATTCTCATGGTCCGCGATTTGGTTACAGCAGCAGTTGTCTGAACCGGATGGAGCTCTCCGCCTTACAGCAGCCATGGCCATGGCCGACAGATTTAAGCAGCCCAATGTGTACCAATTTCTTGCTTGATACTGAACCTGATGCACTCTGTCGATGCGTGGCTTTAAGCTCTATCCAACGGTGTCTTTTTAGTGTTCATCAAGGGAACCTAAACACTGGTTTTATGAGTTCCAGGCTATCGACGTTGCTACATACATCAGTCAGTCAAGGGTCTACACAAGGCTGCTATCGTTATTACAAGTTTCGCCATGGATTCCATCGTGCCATACATTATCGCCAACCTCCTTCTCGCGTCAAAACCAAGGACATATCTTCCCGAGGATGTTTGGCATTCCAAAAGAGACCCACGGGATCATCGTGCCTGGACCTGCAGAGATTCACACTCAAGCACCAACGATATAAAATGGCAGCTGAAACAGTGTCTGTGCTAAGAACGGCTTGTATTTCAGCCATTGTTAGGCTGCCAAGCTTATCTCATCATCGCACCATGAGGAGGGGACGAAGCAACAGAAGCAACAAGAATGATTCTAACAAGGATCAGGAGCGCGGTGGGGACGGCTTACCGGACTTACCTGAGAAGGAAGCCTCTGACAAGGGGAACCTTGCTCCCGGATCTGCGTCGGGTGGTGTGAATGGTCCGTTTGAAGACCTCCTGGACCTGCAGCATAACACGGATCAGGGAGCGGGATCCGGCGTTGATAAGGCTGAAGACGTGGAAGGTGTTGTCGACGCTACAGCGAAGGCCTCGAAGGATGCTGCTGGTGTCGACGAAGCTGAGGAAGTTGATGCTGGTGGCGACGTGCATGAAGATGCTGACGCGCAGTCAGCCATGGCTCCTGATGATGAAGATGACAGCTAGGGACGCGAACTTCGTTTGGAACCGTGTTATCAGTCACGAATGCTTGAATGGGGAGTTCATTGACCTTACCTGGCAGCACCATGAAAATGCGCGTTTCCTGCGCGAGCGCATTCTGAACCTGGCGTCGAAGGAGGTTGTACTCAAAGGGGTCTCGGCGGAGATCACGGCGGAGCTGATTCGTCGCCTGCTGGTGGTTTCGAAACTGGTCAAACGCGGCAAAAGCGCTTTCGCCAGCGGCTTTAGCTTTAACCGCACCATCGACCCGGTCACAGGGATGGATACCGATTGCATCCGCGGACTGATCATCCCGCATCCTGCGGACGAGTATCGCTGGAGGTACTTCGTGGAAGACCCATCGACGGGACAGCGCTACGTGCTTCACTTTCCGTCGCTTACCTGCAATTTCTGCGGTGGCCAGCATATGTCCCGCTACCATGACCATTATATTACCCCGAGGCAGGAGAGCTTCGCCAACTAGAACCTGACGGTAAAAAAGGTTCATGAGTTCAACGGTACACGCAGAGAGTTTTTCCGACCGTTATGAGTACAGTCTTTGCCGCTATCCTTTCTTCTCTTACCTTATACTGACCACCATCTGCTCGCCTCTCCCCGCAGCCGCATCTCTGAAAGCTTCAGACCTTCTGAAGCGGATCATGAGGGATCCTGCCATTGTACTCACCTCCACTGGAGGCTCATGGGAGGAGTGGGTCTGTGTTCAAACGGTGTGCGAGAAGGCGCAAGGGAATCGGTTTGAGCAGGCGTCTGCACGCATCGCATCTGCCAGGCACAAAGGGGGTCTGCGGAAGGAGGGTGCTGTAACGCGTGCCAGCAAGCATTAACAGAAACTGGTTGCTTTCACAAAGGAGTACATCGTAAAGCCGGCGAAGAAGTGATCAGCGGCTCAGACAGCAACAGCATGACAGGAATGGGTGGTGATGCAGCAAGTTCGATCATGATAGCAGGATGTGTAGTGCCATGTTCTCTTTCGCTGTAGCAGGTTGTATCGTTGCAATGAAGCGCAATTGCCCGTGGATGCTGTGGGGCTTAACGGAGTGGTTAAATGGATAAACACAACAAACTCACCCTTCTCGAGCTCAACATCAACGGGCTCGGCAGCAGCGGAAAGCAAGAACGCTGCGGAAAGTGGATAAGGAAAGAAGCGAACATTGTGGTTCTCACTGATACTTGTGTCCCAGCCGACCATAATTTCTGGACACAAGTCAGATCGGAGGCCCAGGCAGTGGTGGGGCCGTCGCAGAGGGCTGGGGGAGTTGCTGTCTTGGGCTTCCTGCAAGGGATGCGTTTCACGGAGGTGGTTAAACATGTGTCAGGCCGCCTTCTGGGTTTGGTGGTAACCTGGCGTGATTTGAAGTGTAGAATAGTTGCAGCTTACTTACCTGCGCAAGCCTCCACCAGGGGTGTCTTCTTCAGAGATATCTTAACGCCCTTTGTGCAGAGCATGAGCGCGGCACCACACGCGATTTTCGTCGGTGACTTGAACATCGTTGCAGATCCGGAGCTGGACAAGTCTTCGAAACTGGGGACACCGGCGGAAAATCAGAGGCTCCTGCAGATATGCTCGAGATGGGATCTGCAGGACGCCTTTAGAAGCTTGCATCCGGCTTGCAAGGAATACACTTTCTTCTCAAGATCTGCAAAAACAAGCACAAGGATTGACAGGATCTTAGTATCTCATTCCCTGCTCAGCTGCGTGTCAGAGGCAAAGCACAGAATGGTACCATATGGCTTAACAAAAAACTGGTTTGCGGTGATGGTGATGCTTAAGTCTGCGTCGACGGATGGTCACGGCCCCGGCTTATGGAGACTCCAAGCGTCTCAGTCAGGAGGGGAAGGGACCAAGAATATCATATCGGCGCAGCCGGACCAGGGCTTGGAAAGACTGTTGTCGAACCTGCGTGCAAGTATGAGAGCTCATGTAGCGGAGGAAAGAAAAAGGGTGAAGGCGATCATGGTGCATTTAGAAAAGAAGGTGGAGAATCTCAGATGGAGGGTAATGAGTTACCCTTCGGCGCAAGATGTGTACGAGGAGCTGGTAAAGAGTGAGGCGGCCCTCAAGCTATACCAAGACAAGCGGCTGCAGGTCATGACGGGACTACTAGCAGAGCTGGCGGGTGAGACACCATCGGGGTTCCTGTCAGGGCTGGTCAAGTCAAGAAAAGAAAAAACGGAGATCAGCGAGTTAATCTTTAAGGGGGTCCAAAGGAAGGGAGCAAGGGAGGTGCTGCAGGCGGCTTCTGATTACTCCCGGGAGGCGTACGCGGTCTCAACTTTCAGCCCATCAGAGAGCCGTGGACGATTGAGGAGGGGAAGCGGCTTCAGGAAAGAGACCGGCAACAACTTGGAAGAGAGTGGTCGGAGCAGGAGGTGAAAGAGGCGCTCAAGGGACTTCCGGCCGGGAAAGCTCCGGGGCAAGATGGCTTGCAGAAGTTTTTTTTCGAACGCAACTGGGAGCTCCTCGGGCCAGCGGTGCTGAGAGAAGTCAGAACCTTCAAGAAGTCTGCCGTGCTCTCTGAATCCTTCACCACCGCGGTTACCATCTTGCTGCACAAGAAGGGGGACAGAGATGTGTTAGGCAACTACAGACCGATCACCTTGCTGAGCTTCTTCTACAAGTTACTGGTGAAGGTGTTGGCAAACAGGATTAAACTTGTCTTACCACGGGTGATTTCGGAGAATCAGTTCGGCTTCCTCCCGGGACGAAGTGTGGTGGAAGCGGTGTCCCTGGTCGCGGATACGATTGACGCAGCGGAAGAGGAGGACGAGGATTGGCTGCTGCTTTTGGTCGACTTTCAGAAAGCCTATGACTCAGTGTCTCGCGAATACCTGTTCAAGACACTGGAGCACATGGGTTTTCCAGCAAAGTTCACGTTGTGGGCGAAAGGACTTCATGATGGAGCAGCTACCAGGATGCTACTGAACGGCTGGGTGGGCAAAAGGGGAGATGGAAAAGGGGGTTCGGCAGGGTTGTCCACTCGCCCCGTACCTCTTCCTCTGCGCTGTCGAACCACTCTGCCAAGAAATCGAGAGGAGGAAGCTGGGAGTTCGGAAGAGGGGAGTAAAGGGGGAACTGGCTTACATCGGGTACGCCGATGATACGACCCTGGTTATGAAAGGAAAGGAACAGGTGGAGAGAGCGAGCGCACTGCTCAACGACTTTGCTGAAATCTCGGGTCTGAGAGTGAATCAAGACAAAACAACGCTGATGCCATTGGGAAAGAATCGGAGAAGGCTGCAACCGATAGCATCACCTTTCAGATGGGCTGACAAAGACAGGTCGGAGCGGTTGCTCGGAATCTGGATCACATCCGGGGGTTCGCCGGGGCCGGCGTGGGATAAAGCCTTTGAAAGCGTGAGCGCGGTGCTGAGCTGCTGGGAGACGAAACACCTCAAAACGTCGGCGCGGGTTACCATCATCAACACTTACGCAATGCCATTCTTACTGTTCTAGGCGCAGATCTACGCTCCGCCACACGACATTTTGAAAAAGGTGAAGCGGCTCTGCCACAACTTCATCTCTGGAGGCAAAGCGCTGCTTGACAGGCACTTTATCCTGTGGAGCTATGACCTGTCCTGCAGGGAGCGGAAAGAGGGAGGGCTGGGTGTCATAGACTTGAAGCACCGGATCGATAGCACAGTGTTTCAGAACCTGGGAAAGGCTATGGCGGAACAAGCGCCTCTGAGAAACTGGCTGTGGGAGAGAGCTGTCGGGTTCCCGCTCGGGCTGGCGACGATCTACGCCCACCCTTCAATTCTGAGGCACTGGTTGGGGGGAGGCACGAGATGGAAAGCAGCGGTTAAGGCACTGTGGGAATCAAAAATCATGGGCATAGGCGATTCAGAGCACAGGTGGGACGCGGAAGAGGAACAACTGCTTTTCAATCGGAAAATTTTATTCAGGGGAAAGTCGCCATTCGGGAACCTGATGGGCCCACACTGTCTGAAGGGTGTCCGGTTAGGAGACCTAGTGGACACAAGGCTGGATGGCAGCAGGACCCTCAAGAGCAACACCACCCTGGAGCGTGAACTGGGCGGTGAGGAGCAGCGGAAGTGGGCTTTAAAGGCGTGGGATGCAACACCGGAGGGCTGGAAAGATATGGTGCTTAAGCAGCTATCGGCGGAGGAGGCTTTCATGGTGACGACCCTGATTCGCTCAGCGTCATACCGGCCTGGGGAGTTCTTTTACTACAAGGTGGAATATGCAAGAGACGGAGAGCTGTATGGGAGGAGGGTGACGGTGGACAAAAAGGGGCACATAGCCGCGGTGGAATATGCGAGCGTGGTGTCAGTCGGCCTCTTACGCGCTAATCCTATGGCGGTCATAGAAGGGAGGGCACGTGGCCCACTGGGCGCCCCGAGAACACGGCTGCTATACTCACCGATCTGCGACAAAGGCGAGCGGGCCGAGCTAAAGAAGCTGAGGAAGGCGATGAAACCCCCAGCGGTCCAACCTAAGCAGCAGCTGCAGTGGGAAGAACCGATGGGTAGAAAGATTGATTGGGAGAAAGCTATCACGGTCCGCAACTCACTAGCAACCCATGCCAGGGCACGCGAAGTGGTGTTGAGGGTGCACAGTAACAACTTTCAAGTGGGGGAAAGGCTACCGTTCCTGGGCGCAAGGGCGCGCTGCACACACTGGGGGGGAGTGGAGTCGCAAAAACCACTGTCTATACTGTTGCCCTGAAATACAACCAGTGGTCGGGGTGATGAAAAGGGCGGTGCAGTGCATGAATCCAAGCAGAGGGATGGAGTCCCTCGGCGACATGCTTTTCCAAGAGAATTGCACGTCGACGGGTTTTCCGGAAGCTGCAATCACTTCGATCACTGCGCACCAAGTCTGGCTGGAGAGGTGCAATGCGGTCTTCCGGGGCAGCCGCTTTTAGCCAAAGAGGGCACTACGGCGCATAGCAGTTGGCTTTACAAGACACGCGAAGATATAAGAGCTTGGAAACGGATGGCTGGCAAAAGTGGTGTGCAAAGGA